CCTCCAGCTCCTCAGATGGCGGGCAGGAACCCTGGATGCAGTGCGCATTTCCCCTCTGTATCGCCACGCTGAGGCGCTGGAAAAGAAAGTGGCAGGTAAAAGCTGCCACCTGTTACATGACCGTCGAACTAACTGTAGAATCCTGATTTAGTTGCATCACCAAATTTTTGTGTGCTCAACCACTTTAGAGTGGACGGTAGAGCGACAGTCTCGCTTCATGCAGGTCGGCGTTCAATCCCCGAGCGTCCACATAAGGTTGGCCACCATTCCTTCCTCCCCGTCCCATCCCTAACCCTTATCCTGACTCCTTCCCAGTGATATAGAGTCGTAATTTCTCCAAATATTTCCCTCCCTCCCGGAGATTCTTGTCTCAGCTAGTCTATAGTCATCTTTGCAATGATACTCTACACCCAGAAGTTAGATGAAGACTTTGCAACACTCTCCGTCTTAACACGAGCAACACAACTAGTCCGATGCTCGCGGAGTTCAGAACACAAACATGATAAATACCTCCAAAGTATACCTGATCAACCAGGCTGTGATTCACATGTGAGGATGCCTGTAGCTCCGAGGATGCCGGGCCTCAGGGGCGTCGATCCCTGGCACCTAGACACAGTAACTGTACCACCCAGCCATGGTACAGTGGTACTACACGGTACTAACACCACACTACCACAATGAACGGAGTTATGTATACTCCCAGGGTAAGGTACACTCCCAGGGTAAGGTACACTCCCAGGGTAAGGTACACTCCCAGGGTAAGGTACACTCCCAGGGTAAGGTACACTCCCAGGGTAAGGTACACTCCCAGGGTAAGGTATACTCCCAGGGTAAGGTACACTCCCAGGGTAAGGTATACTCCCAGGGTAAGGTACACTCCCAGGGTAAGGTATACTCCCAGGGTAAGGTATACTCCCAGGGTAAGGTACACTCCCAGGGTAAGGTACACTCCCAGGGGAAGGTATACTCCAGGGGTAAGGTACACTCCCAGTGTAAGGTACACTCCCAGGGTAAGGTACACTCCCAGGGTAAGGTACACTCCCAGGGTAAGGTACACTCCCAGGGTAAGGTACACTCCCAGGGTAAGGTACACTCCCAGGGTAAGGTACACTCCCAGGGGAAGGTATACTCCAGGGGTAAGGTACACTCCCAGTGTAAGGTATACTCCCAGGGTAAGGTATACTCCCAGGGTAAGGTATACTCCCAGGGTAAGGTACACTTCCAGGGTAAGGTATACTCCCAGGGTAAGGTATACTCCCAGGGTAAGGTACACTCCCAGGGTAAGGTATACTCCCAGGGTAAGGTATACTCCCAGGGTAAGGTACACTCCCAGTGTAAGGTACACTCCCAGGGTAAGGTATACTCCCAGGGTAAGGTATACTCCCAGGGTAAGGTATACTCCCAGGGTAAGGTACACTCCCAGGGTAAGGTATACTCCCAGGGTAAGGTATACTCCCAGGGTAAGGTACACTCCCAGGGTAAGGTACACTCCCAGGGTAAGGTACACTCCCAGGGTAAGGTACACTCCCAGGGTAAGGTATACTCCCAGGGTAAGGTATACTCCCAGGGTAAGGTATACTCCCAGGGTAAGGTATACTCCCAGGGTAAGGTACACTTCCAGGGTAAGGTATACTCCCAGGGTAAGGTATACTCCCAGGGTAAGGTACACTCCCAGTGTAAGGTACACTCCCAGGGTAAGGTACACTCCCAGGGTAAGGTACACTCCCAGGGTAAGGTACACTCCCAGGGTAAGGTACACTCCCAGGGTAAGGTATACTCCCAGGGTTAGGTACACTCCCAGTGTAAGGTACACTCCCAGGGTAAGGTACACTCCCAGGGTAAGGTACACTCCCAGGGTAAGGTACACTCCCAGGGTAAGGTGTACTCCCAGGGGTAAGGTACACTCCCAGGGTAAGGTACACTCCCAGGGTAAGGTACACTCCCAGGGGCAAGGTGTACTCCCAGGGTAAGGTACACTCCCAGGGTAAGGTACACTCCCAGGGTAAGCTAGGTACACTCCCATTGAAAGGTACACTCCCAGGGTAAGGTGTACTCCCAGGGTAAGGTACACTCCCAGGGTAAGGTGTACTCCCAGGGTAAGGTACACTCCCAGGGTAAGGTGTACTCCCAGGGTAAGGTACACTCCCAGGGTAAGGTGTACTCCCAGGGTAAGGTACACTCCCAGGGTAAGGTACACTCCCAGGGTAAGGTGTACTCCCAGGGTAAGGTATACCGTGGGAGTATACCTCAGGGGGTGGAGGGAGCCACAAGAGGCAGTGGGCCACCACAAGCCCTTGAGCACGGCGGCTCCTCCTCCAGATATTGACCCTGCACCTCCCCGCTCCCTGCACCTCCCCGCTCCTGCACCTCCCCGCTCCTGCACCTCCCCACTCCTGCCCCTCCCCGCTCCTGCACCTCCACGCTCCTGCCCCTCCCCGCTCCTGCCCCTCCCCGCACCTCCCCGCTCCTGCACCTCCCCGCTCCTGCACCTCCCCACTCCTGCACCTCCCCACTCCTGCCCCTCCCCGCTCCTGCACCTCCACGCTCCTGCACCTCCCCGCTCCTGCCCCTCCCCGCTCCTGCCCCTCCCCGCTCCTGCACCTCCCCGCTCCTGCACCACCCCGCTCCTGCACCTCCCCGCTCCTGCACCTCCCCGCTCCTGCACCACCCCGCTCCTGCACCTCCCCGCTCCTGCACCTCCCCGCTCCTGCACCTCCCCGCTCCTGCACCTTCCCGCTCCTGCACCTCCCCGCTCCTGCACCTTCCCGCTCCTGCCCCTCCTCGCTCCTACACCTCCCCGCTCCTGCACCACCCCGCTCCTGCACCACCCCGCTCCTGCACCTCCCCGCTCCTGCACCTCCCCGCTCCTGCACCACCCCGCTCCTGCCCCTCCCCGCTCCTGCACCACCCCGCTCCTGCACCTCCCCGCTCCTGCACCTCCCCGCTCCTGCACCACCCCGCTCCTGCACCACCCCGCTCCTGCACCTCCCCGCTCCTGCACCTCCCCACACCTGCACCTCCCCGTTCCTGCACCTCCCCGCTCCTACACCTCCCCGCTCCTGCACCACCCCGCTCCTGCACCTCCCCGCCCCTGCCCCTCCCCGCTCCTGCACCTCCCCGCTCCTGCACCTCCCCGCTCCTGCACCACCCCGCTCCTGCACCTCCCCGCTCCTGCCCCTCCCCGCTCCTGCACCTCCCCACTCCTGCCCCTCTCTGCTCCTGCACCTCCCCACTCCTGCACTTCCCCGCTCCTGCACCTCCCCACTCCTGCCCCTCCCCGCTCCTGCACCTCCCCGCTCCTGCCCCTCCCCGCTCCTGCACCTCCCCGTTCCTGCACCTCCCCGCTCTTGCCCCTCCCCACTCCTGCCCCTCCCCGCTCCTGCACCTCCCCACTCCTGCCCCTCTCTGCTCCTGCACCTCCCCACTCCTGCACTTCCCCGCTCCTGCACCTCCCCACTCCTGCCCCTCCCCGCTCCTGCACCTCCCCGCTCCTGCCCCTCCCCGCTCCTGCACCTCCCCGTTCCTGCACCTCCCCGCTCCTGCCCCTCCCCGCTCCTGCACCTCCCCGCTCCTGCACCTCCCCGCTCCACCCCTCCCCGCTCCTGCACCTCCCCGCTCCTGCACCTCCACGCTCCTGCCCCTCCACGCTCCTGCACCTCCCCGCTCCTGCACCTCCCCGCTCCTGCACCTCCCTGCTCCTTGTTCAACGGGGGTATGGTCAACGGGAGTATGGTCAACGGGGGTATGGTCAACGTGGGTATGGTCAACGGGGGTATGGTCAACGGGAGTATGGTCAACGGGGGTATGGTCAACGGGAGTATGGTCAACGGGGGTATGGTCAACGGGGGTATGGTCAACGGCAGTATGGTCAACGGCAGTATGGTCAACGGGGATATGGTCAACGGGGGTATGGTCAACGGGAGTATGCTCAACGGGGGTATGGTCAACGGGGGTATGGTCAACGGGAGTATGGTCAACGGTGGGTATGGTCAACGGTGGGTATGGTCAACGGTGCGTATGGTCAACGGGGGTATGGTCAACGTGGGTATGGTCAACGGGGGTATGGTCAACGGTGGGTATGGTCAACGGGGGTATGGTCAACGGTGGGTATGGTCAACGGGGGTATGGTCAACAGGAGTATGGTCAACGGGGGTATAGTCAACGGAGGTATGGTCAACGGGGGTATGGTCAACGGGGGTATTGTCAACGGGGGTATGGTCAACTGGGGTATGGTCAACGGGGGTATGGTCAACGGGGGTATGGTCAACGGGGGTATGGTCAACGGGAGTATGGTCAACGGGGGTATGGTCAACGGAGTGTATGGTCAACGGGGGTATGGTCAACGGGAGTATGGTCAACGGGGGTATAGTCAACGGGGGTATGGTCAACGGGGGTATGGTCAACGGGGGTATGGTCAACGGGAGTATGGTCAACGGGGGTATAGTCAACGCAGGTATGGTCAACGGGAGTATGGTCAACGGGGGTATAGTCAACGGAGGTATGGTCAACGGGGGTATGGTCAACGGTGGTATGGTCAACGGGAGTATGGTCAACGGGGGTATGGTCAACGGGGGTATGGTCAACGGGAGTATGGTCAACGGGGGTATGGTCAACGGGGGTATGGTCAACGGGAGTATGGTCAACGGGGGTATGGTCAACGGGAGTATGGTGTACGTTAGTATGGTCAACGGGAGTATGGTCAACGGGGGTATGGTCAACGGGGATATGGTCAACGGTGGTATGGTCAACGGGAGTATGGTCAACGGGGGTATGGTCAACGGGGGTATGGTCAACGGCAGTATGGTCAACGGTGGGTATGGTCAACGGTGGGTATGGTCAACGGTGCGTATGGTCAACGGGGGTATGGTCAACGTGGGTATGGTCAACGGGGGTATGGTCAACGGTGGGTATGGTCAACGGGGGTATGGTCAACGGTGGGTATGGTCAACGGGGGTATGGTCAACGGGAGTATGGTCAACGGGGGTATAGTCAACGGAGGTATGGTCAACGGGGGTATGGTCATCGGGGGTATGGTCAACGGGGGTATGGTCAACTGGGGTATGGTCAACGGGGGTATGGTCAACGGGGGTATGGTCAACGGGAGTATGGTCAACGGGGGTATGGTCAACGGTGTGTATGGTCAACGGGGGTATGGTCAACGGGAGTATGGTCAACGGGGGTATAGTCAACGGGGGTATGGTCAACGGGGGTATGGTCAACGGGGGTATGGTCAACGGGGGTATGGTCAACGGGAGTATGGTCAACGGGGTATAGTCAACGGAGGTATGGTCAACGGGAGTATGGTCAACGGGGGTATAGTCAACGGAGGTATGGTCAACGGGGGTATGGTCAACGGTGGTATGGTCAACGGGAGTATGGTCAACGGGGGTATGGTCAACGGGGGTATGGTCAACGGGAGTATGGTCGACTGGGGTATGGTCAACGGGGGTATGGTCAACGGGGGTATGGTCAACGGGAGTATGGTCAACGGGGGTATAGTCAACGGAGGTATGGTCAACGGGAGTATGGTCAACGGGGGTATAGTCAACGGAGGTATGGTCAACGGGGGTATGGTCAACGGTGGTATGGTCAACGGGAGTATGGTCAACGGGGGTATGGTCAACGGGGGTATGGTCAACGGGAGTATGGTCGACGGGGGTATGGTCAACGGGGGTATGGTCAACGGGGGTATGGTCAACGGGAGTATGGTCAACGGGGGTATAGTCAACGGGGGTATGGTCAACGGGGGTATGGTCAACGGGGGTATGGTCAACGGGGGTATGGTCAACGGGAGTATGGTCAACGGGGGTATAGTCAACGGAGGTATGGTCAACGGGAGTATGGTCAACGGGGGTATAGTCAACGGAGGTATGGTCAACGGGGGTATGGTCAACGGTGGTATGGTCAACGGGAGTATGGTCAACGGGGGTATGGTCAACGGGGGTATGGTCAACGGGAGTATGGTCGACGGGGGTATGGTCAACGGGGGTATGGTCAACGGGGGTATGGTCAACGGGAGTATGGTCAACGGGGGTATGGTCAACGGGAGTATGGTGTACGTTAGTATGGTCAACGGGAGTATGGTCAACGGGGGTATGGTCAACGGGGATATGGTCAACGGTGGTATGGTCAACGGGAGTATGGTCAACGGGGGTATGGTCAACGGCAGTATGGTCAACGGGGGTATGGTCAACGGCAGTATGGTCAACGGGGGTATGGTCAACGGCAGTATGGTCAAGGGGGGTATGGTCAATGAGGGAATGGTCAATTTTCCCTGAGCATTGAAAGAAAATTTATGATTTGTTCCATATTTCTTGAGTGTTTGCTTCACCTGCCACCCCATATTTGTTTGTGTACTTTATTGTACATGATTACATAATGTGTAGCATCAATATATACATAACTATTACAAGTGAAGTGAAAAAACACACCAACGGGATACATTAATAAATGTCTCAGACAGATTCGATTATTGTTGCAAGTCAAGCACTTCTAAGAACTCCTGAGAGATTAGACTCATGCCCAAGATGCAGTAGGCATTTCCTCTCCGAATTGTGACCCTGAGGAGCTGGAACAAGAAAATTTTCCCTCTTTGGTCTTTTTTAACACTGATCAATTTGCCGCTCAGTTCCTTCGGGAACTTCAATGCACATTTTCCCCACCAACCATGAGTCTCCGAGCTGATCGGAACAAAAGTGTAGCAGTGTGCCAGACCTCTGTATTTTATGACTTTCTGTGTTTCCATTAATCTGAATAGGTGTGGTTCTCGTTCTGCTGGGCAGCGGGCCGTGGCGAGGCTCCTCTTGATGATATCGATAACTTCTTCAAGTCTTGCACACTTACCCTGTGATTTACGACAATCCAAACCGTGATGCCCATATTGGTCTGCCATGGCGCTTCCATTGATGCACCTGTGTTCGGTGAGGATGGCGGCAGCAAGGTGGAGGGCAACTCCAATACGGAGGGTGTCATGATCGAGGCGAGTTCCCAGGGCTGCATTAGGCCTAGCAAATAAAAAAATCCCTGGCATGGGGCGCTGTTACCGCTATGAGGACTTTGTTCTCAGCAGATGCGTTTTCAAACATTGTTGTGGAAGTCTTTTTCCATTATGGGGCTATCCCAGTGGGCCTGTCTGTGGTCGTCTGGGGCTTGTGGTCGGGGTAAATTGTGTGCATTGATTTCCCATTGACTTGCTACTTCAATGACTTGATAGACAATAATGCTAGAACCATAAAGCAGGTAATGAGTACAGTAATTACGAAGGACCAATATTCATAAGGAATATTATTAAGGAAATGGGAATGGTAAGGGTAAACTGGTGTGTGTGGGAGCCAAGCTGACCTTCAAGTACTGGCAGCGAGCTGTGTGTGTGCAGGTCCTTACTCACGTGCTTCTCGCCGCACAGAAAATGACCGCGCCTTTTTAACGACGGTTCCTTCATATAAAGATGTTTTTGTCCCACAAAGCCATTACTAGTAACTTTGTAGCTTTAGAAAAACTTATGTATTAATTTTGCTGGTTTCTTTAAAGAAGAAAACCTGCCGCTAGGAGAGTTTATATATATATATATATATATATATATATATATATATATATATATATATATATATATATATATATATATATATATATATAAAACATGTGAATAACAAGTTTTTAAGAAAGAAAGTATTTTCATTAATTTTATAAAACCTTCAGTTCTTTATATTAAATTTTATAATATTTTTTAAACATTGTAAATTTGTTTAAGGTGTTTAAAGTAAATTAATATTATTTACTTTATTGTATATATATATATATATATATATATATATATATATATATATATATATATATATATATATATATATATATATTGTTATTGTTGTAACTACTAAACATACATTAAATTAAAATGTGCTTAAGATAGTCTGGAAAGCAACTAATTATAACATGGTAAACAATAATAATATCATCATCACTAATTTAAATTAAAATTCGAATTTGGTAGGGGTACCACCTCTGGTGCAATTGTAGGGACCCATAGCCTCAGTGAAGAGAATAAATGGTATTCAGAGAAGACCTTGTGGATTTTCACTGAATACTTTAATATTTTCTTCTACTAACCCAATTCTTTGTTTTTATTTTATAGTATATGATTGATTTATTTATTAATTGTATTACATTGTGTTACAGTTTACAGAACACACACACACACACACACACACACACACACACACACACACACACACACACACACACACACACACACACACACACACACACACATATAACAATCACTCTAAGAAGACCTCATCCAGCTCTTCGGAGGTTGGGTGCGTGTCTAAGATACAGCACGCATTTCCTCTCTGGATCGCGACACTGAGGCGCTGGAAGAGGAAACTGACCACGTTTGAGTCTCTAGTTTGCCTAATGAGTGCCTCCTTTAGGAACTTAAGTGCACATTTACCCCCAGGCGCCCAGAGTCTCAGAACCTATCGGCACGAACCTGTAACAACGTTCTAGATCCCTGAACTTATTCGTTTTCTGGGTCTCCCTGAAGGTGGCTGCCCCACCTCCCTAAACTGTACTGTGAGGTAGATAGGTATCAGCCAATGTAGATGCACACATGTAAACCCACACGACCTGTTTACCTTCCCTCCATGGCATCATGGTGACTCCATCTGGGCATTTGTGACTTGTCAGGTCTGCACAACTGAGGTTCTCTTTGTGCTGGACATCCAGCTGTAGCTAAAACTTCTCTTCATGATGTCATTGACTGCTTCATGTCTGGAAATCTTTCCCTGTGACTTACGACAGATGAGACCATGGCTGCATATAGGTCTGTCGACATAGCCCCTGATACACTGGTGTTCAGTGGAGATAGGGGTGGCAAGGCGCAGGGAAGCCCCATTAATTAGGGCCCAATGGTCCAGACGGGTGCCCAAGGCGGAATTAGGGATAGCTAACAGTTAGTCCCCAGCACGAGAAGTGTGATGATGTCGACGCCATCTGTTGAGTGCACCCGACCCCAATTCTTTTAGGAGGGAAGGAGTGACAATGTCAACGCCATCTGTTGAGCGCACCCGACCCCATTTTCTGTTCCACAGTGGAAGTCTATGATCTTACTGAGACCCCTGCCAGTGTTCAACCAGGGCAGTCCTGCTGGAGACCAGTGTACACTGTGATTTGTCTGTGATATTTAGTGAAGTATTGGTGATTGGACCGACGTGCCAGTGTGTTGCTGGAGACCTCTGCCAGTGTGTTGCCCTCTGCCAGTGTGTTGCTGGAGACCCCTGCCAGTGTGTGCTGGAGACCCCTGCCAGTGTGTTGCTGGAGACCCCTGCCAGTGTTGCTGGAGACCCCTGCCAGTGTGTTGCTGGAGACCCCTGCCAGTGTGTTGCTGGAGACCTCTGCCAGTGTGTTGTAGAGACCCCTGACAGTGTTGCTGGAGACCCCTGCCAGTGTGTTGCTGGAGACCCCTGCCAGTGTTGCTGGAGACCCCTGCCAGTGTGTTGCTGGAGACCCCTGCCAGTGTGTTGCTGGAGACCCCTGCCAGTGTGTTGCTGGAGACCCCTGCCAGTGTTGCTGGAGACCCCTGCCAGTGTGTTGCTGGAGACCCCTGCCAGTGTTGCTGGAGACCCCTGCCAGTGTGTTGCTGGAGACCTCTGCCAGTGTGTTGCTGGAGACCTCTGCCAGTGTGTTGCTGGAGACCCCTGCCAGTGTGTTGCTGGAGACCTCTGCCAGTGTTGCTGGAGACCCCTGCCAGTGTGTTGCTGGAGACCCCTGCCAGTGTGTTGCTGGAGACCCCTGCCAGTGTTGCTGGAGACCCCTGCCAGTGTTGCTGGAGACCTCTGCCAGTGTGTTGCTGGAGACCTCTGCCAGTGTGTTGCTGAGACCTCTGCCAGTGTTGCAGGAGACCCCTGCCAGTGTTGCTGGAGACCCCTGCCAGTGTGTTGCTGGAGACCCCTGCCAGTGTGTTGCTGGAGACCCCTGCCAGTGTTGCTGGAGACCCCTGCCAGTGTGTTGCTGGAGACCTCTGCCAGTGTGTTGCTGGAGACCTCTGCCAGTGTGTTGCTGGAGACCTCTGCCAGTGTGTTGCTGGAGACCCCTGCCAGTGTGTTGCTGGAGACCCCTGCCAGTGTGTTGCTGGAGACCCCTGCCAGTGTGTTGCTGGAGACCCCTGCCAGTGTGTTGCTGGAGACCCCTGCCAGTGTGTTGCTGGAGACCCCTGCCAGTGTGTTGCTGGAGACCCCTGCCAGTGTGTTGCTGGAGACCCCTGCCAGTGTTGCTGGAGACCCCTGCCAGTGTGTTGCTGGAGACCCCTGCCAGTGTTTGCTGGAGACCCCTGCCAGTGTGTGCTGGAGACCCCTGCCAGTGTGTTGCTGGAGACCTCTGCCAGTGTGTTGCTGGAGACCCCTGCCAGTGTGTTGCTGGAGACCCCTGCCAGTGTGTTGCTGGAGACCCCTGCCAGTGTGTTGCTGGAGACCCCTGCCAGTGTGTTGCTGGAGACCCCTGCCAGTGTGTTGCTGGAGACCTCTGCCAGTGTGTTGCTGGAGACCCCTGCCAGTGTGTTGCTGTTGCTGGAGACCCCTGCCAGTGTGTTGCTGGAGACCCCTGCCAGTGTGTTGCTGGAGACCCCTGCCAGTGTGTTGCTGGAGACCCCTGCCAGTGTGTTGCTGGAGACCCCTGCCAGTGTGTTGCTGGAGACCCCTGCCAGTGTGTTGCTGGAGACCCCTGCCAGTGTGTTGCTGGAGACCCCTGCCAGTGTGTTGCTGGAGACCCCTGCCAGTGTGTTGCTGGAGACCCCTGCCAGTGTGTTGCTGGAGACCCCTGCCAGTGTGTTGCTGGAGACCCCTGCCAGTGTGTTGCTGGAGACCCCTGCCAGTGTGTTGCTGGAGACCCCTGCCAGTGTGTTGCTGGAGACCCCTGCCAGTGTGTTGCTGGAGACCCCTGCCAGTGTGTTGCTGGAGACCCCTGCCAGTGTGTTGCTGGAGACCCCTGCCAGTGTGTTGCTGGAGACCCCTGCCAGTGTGTTGCTGGAGACCCCTGCCAGTGTGTTGCTGGAGACCCCTGCCAGTGTGTTGCTGGAGACCCCTGCCAGTGTGTTGCTGGAGACCCCTGCCAGTGTGTTGCTGGAGACCCCTGCCAGTGTGTTGCTGGAGACCCCTGCCAGTGTGTTGCTGGAGACCCCTGCCAGTGTGTTGCTGGAGACCCCTGCCAGTGTGTTGCTGGAGACCCCTGCCAGTGTGTTGCTGGAGACCCCTGCCAGTGTGTTGCTGGAGACCTCTGCCAGTGT